GTTATTTACTTATTAACATCTTTAAAAAACAAAGAAGATAAAGATGTTTCAAAGCTGGATTAATGAATGAGCTGATAATTGAAAAATCTCTTGGCAAATAAAAGTCGATATTTTTGTTTGAGTTGTTTCCATTACCAATTTATTTTATTGGTCAATTGTACTCAATAAGTAGATCTATGTGAAATGAAGATAAATATTTTGATAGTATTGATGAATGACAATATTTTCTTGTAATTGAAAACTATATAGAGAAACATAAAACTCTTGATGATTATTTAGTATGCATCAAAGTAAACGCTTTCTAAATGAATTTCAGATTTCACGAATGATAATTTATTATGACTGGAATTTTTGTTTTTGTGAATGTCGATTCATTCAAACACTTGCATGTGTAAATGACTTGAACTATTCACCAACCTAAGACTCGAAAAACTTTAAAAGAGTTCGTGTTTATGGGCCTCTCAAGCCAAGTTTTGATCCTTTGATTAAAATATATTTGTTGTGCTGTTGAATTTTCTAATAAACTTAACTTTTGTGGCAAAACGATCATTTTCATTGAAATTCAATATCTTAACAACTGAACATACTTTTCGATCGAAGCTTTTAGGATATACCCAGTCATCACATTCATCTATGGCTGAAATCTCAGCTCAAAATTCAATAATTTGATGTTTCGGTAGTAGAGATCTGCAAAATGGTCACGGTCACGGTCACGGTCACGCATGACTGTAAATCGCTTTTGAAAAATTTCCGTGACCGTGACTAGAAAAAATTGATCACGCAGCTCGTTATATGTGTCAAAAACAAATATCATAGGATTTAAATCAATTTCTGTAAGCCAATCTCATTTTATCAAAAATCCGTAATTGCAATAATCATCAGTAGACTTCCAAAGTCAATCATTCCGAAGGACGGATACCACAGAAATCGGCACGAAATGTGGGAAAAGTAACTGTATCCTGCAGAAAAACTCGAAAAATTATAGAAACATTGGAAGCAGTCTTCCGGATTCTTCCGATGATTTCCTGTCAGTTGTTGCTGGAAAGTGCAGGGAAGCAGATCGTAATCGTTCAGAAAAGTCCAGAAAATGTCCGGTCCAAATATTGTACCATGTTCCAGAGATTTTCGGTGTTTTCCTGCGAGAACCTGTCCGTAATTTTCGATCTGAGTCGTTATTTACTAAGATCTTTTAGTGTCTATGACTGTAACTGTTACAGAATCCATAAATGTCTCACAGATTGTGACTAAAAAACCTGGTCACGCAGATCTCTTTTCGGTAGATACCTAGAACTGGATCGAAAATTCAGTAAAACTAACACAACTCGGCTCCACTAGCCCATAAGCACAAACTCTTTTAGGATTTTCTAGTCTAACTAGTACCTCCTTCTCAATCACATATGAGTTCAAACGGCACGTAATAATTTGGATAGTTATCTCCCTTAGTCTGTCGCAGAGTGTGATATAGAAAGGTGTTTTGAAGGTGTCTGCCACATCTGTAGAAAACAAAAGGTAAAATTTATTCTGCTGTACTTCAACACTTTTTTCAGATCATATTTTATAAAATACTGTGTTTTGTAATGATTGAATTCTAGATGCTTATAATTAAATCCTTTTATGAAGCTAGGATTTTTTTACACCTGACCGGGAACTCTTAATAGTGCATTACAATAGAATTGTGAACTTTAGTACATAACTTATGAGAAGTCTTCAAGAGAAAAATTTTGAGTAAAAGATTATTCTTTAACATGATTTTCACATAATCATATCTCGGTAATTATAGGTCGAAATAGTTCATGTCATTTACACACAAACATTTGAATAACCTAAATTCATGAAAAACTTTCCATTTACAATAAAACAGTTTTCGCAGGTGTGATTTTTAATACAAACTGATTATTCGATGGCTATGTATGCTTAAATGAACATTAATGGTAAATTAGTAGATGAATTGAAAAGCTAATTTAGTCTTATATTTTACTGCTTATAGCTTTCGATATAATAATCATATACATAGCGCATAAAATGAATGATAGATTAATGAAATTAGCAAATAAAAATTGTCAATAAAGTTAAAAACAAATTTCAATGATCCATAGAAATATCCCACTGTTCAAATTGACAAAGAATTATAAAAAGCAAAAGAAGCGACAAATAAAATCAGGATATAGACGATGATGGTACTTGTTGTTGTGTATTTAAATTAGTTTGTTTAACAATATTAAGTGCTTGAATAATAGCTTGTGGATCTTTTCGTGCTTTAGCTGCACAATTTTCTAATGCTTCAGCAGCTTCATATTTTCCTTGACGTCGATATAATAAACTAAGATTTTTTAATGTTGTTGTTACTGTTGGTTGATCAGCTAATATTGTTTTATACCATCCACCTTGTGCATCATAATTTTCATTTGTTATTCCACTTTGAATTTCTTGTTGTTGAGTACGAGATGAAGATTTATTTGAAAATTCTTTTTCTTGTGCTCGTGTTAAAACATCTTTATATATTATTTCAGCTTCTTTATATTTTTGTTGTTTAAGATATGCTGATGCAAGATTATTTTTTGTTTTAGCTACATTTGGATCATCAATACCTAAAGTTTTTGTATATATATCAATAGCACGTTTATAATATGATTCAACTTCATCATATTTTCCTTGATTTTGACAAAGTAATGCAAGATTATTAAGTTGTTTAGCAACATCGGGATGTATTGAACCAAGACATTTTTCACGAATGTCTAATGCACGTTTACATAAAATTTCAGCTTCTTTAAATTTATTTCGTTTACCTAAATCAAAAGTAATTTATATAAATATAATAAATAGAATCCATTGATAATATACCATAAAGAACAGCTAGATTATTTAATGTAGCTGCTACAGCTGGATGATCAGCTCCAAGTGTTTTTTCACGAATAGCTAAGGCATCATTAAGTAAAGCAGCAGCTTCTTTAAATTTTGATTGATCACGATAAACAAGTGCAAGAATATTCAACATTGTAGCAACATCGGGATCTAAAACAAAATTAATTATTAATTTGATTCCGAATTCGAACATAGTTAAATCCAGATTTGTAAAATTTGATACCCAATAGGCCTCTAGTTTCTGTGCGATATCCTTCTCTAGTTATTACAGTTTTACTGAACTTTTTTTCTTTGGAAAAATCTTAGTGAAAGAATCGAGGTAGAAATTTTCAACCTAAGGAAATGTGTTCTTATTGAAATATTGAATATCCAACATTAATCAGGTGTCACAAAGAAAGATTAGAGAGTCTCGTATTTTCAACATTTGATATCTTAAGAAGAGCACAATCCTTTAAGATGAAATTTTCAGGACATTCTCAGGTTCACGAGACCTACCTATGGGGAAAATTTCAGATTGTAATTTCCTAATTCGAGTTATGTACAAATACTTTGCTAGAAATTCACTAAAATTGTATTAACTTGGGAAGAACAGCACATAAAGATGAATCCTTATAAGCTTTTTCTTGTCTCGTTGTGATCTACTTATGAATAAAATATCAGTTCGATTGGTGAGTCATGTTTGCAGACTTTCTCCTGTTATTTCATTCATTCTTTGAATAAATTCTACAAATACTATGGATCCTTTTTTTGCTTGATCGATGATGTATGTAGAAAAATATCGAAAAATAAACA